TGCAATTAAATCAGACGCACGACGGTTTTAAATAATTCGCATTTGTTCTTGGGCAATGAGTAGACCACAGCATTTATCATACTTAACTGTGAACGAGTGTATGCAGAAATGAAGCGCGAATTGCCTTTTTTTAGAGACGGATAGCCAATTTCATACGGTAGAGGTTACTAAACTCCATGGCTACTCTCAGCAGTAGACCACAAGAGAAAGACGCATCGCTCTTTTTTTAAATCTCACTGACGTGTGTATGAACAGACTGAACGGCAGCAGCAGCAACAGCGTTAGCGCATATCAGACATAGCTGGACGGCCATTGCACGTTCACTTGTGTTTGCAACAGTTTTACTCAGTTGCAAATCAGCCTAAGTTGTTTGAGAACCTGGGTTATCATTTTAGGAATGAATAGACTCGCTTCCAAATGAAAGCCACACAGTTTGTGAGTACATGAAGTTCTCGAGGAGCGCATTCACTAAGCATGAGAGCCATCTAACTTGTATACATAGGACAGTTGTGCACTTAACGCTCTACTCCAAGTTCAAGTGTAGCAGATTTGCAGAGCGATCACTAACGAAAACAACTTGGTACTTAGGTAAAGGTTAACAGGGGGGACGTTGGATCGGTGCATTACTTGTGTGAGAACGTACGAATTGGAGTAAGTCCGGTCTTCGATCACAAGGAACCGAAAGTAAAGTATTTCCTATGGAAGAGGGAAATGGGTCGACAGATCTTGCTAAGTCGCATCATGCGCAGAAGCTACTTGAGTTATGTTCCTAGAGTTCCTGATTTGACAAAGCACAAGGCTGAATGTGAAGTAACAAAAACCAGCAACCCTACCAAGCATCATTAGCACTAAGCTCAAAGGCGAACTCGTTGAACCCATTGTCTAGTTGAATTTTAGTGGGTCAGTACAGCAACACCGTACATAAAACGGGAATTCCAAAAATTCCGCGATGGAGTACGCTAGTTTTCCCCCACCCTAGGGTAGCGATCATCCGGAGGACATAACCTATCGACGCGATCGCGTGTTTCATTAGCCGTTAAATTTATAGTCAAGTCTTCTTTGAGCCTCAACTTAGCTTGGTCATTTTGCGTATTGTTTAACACCCCCGTCGGTTCTGGTGTCCACTAAAAACACGCACAAACCTATTTAAAAAACGCAAATTCTTTCCAGTATTACGGTACGCGAAAGGGTCAGGACGTTTGCAGTTCACGTGTACAGAATTACCCCAATACATCATACCAGAATTCAACATGATCACCAATTAGTTAGCTCACAATATGAATACAAAGCATGATAAAATAGTCAATCAGGTTGACTAGTATTAAAGACGGATAGGTTAGTAAATTACAGTCATTGGTGGTTTACTTTACCACATTGAACCAGGTATGTGATGTTTTAATAACTCGACCATCAGCCTTCCGATTGCATTAGGTACACAGAAGTATAGATAATACTGATCTCAAAGCTTTACACTACTAGGCGAAATACCAGTAAGTATTTGAGTTAATTCATCTTTAGATTTGATACAGGAAAAGTGGTAGGATCAAGGCAGTTTTCTCGGAATTGCAGCCAAAATTGAGTATGTGGTTTACCGTCAATCTAACAGAACAATGCACCTAAAGTTCCAACCCATTCAGTGCTAACATTCTACGTTCAAGAAGAAGCTCCAAGGATAATGAATGATAGAAAATGCCGCACTGTGCCAAAATGCCAATTCCGAACACATCGAAAAAAGCATGGACATATACCACATGCCAAACAATTAATTTGGTCAGTACTTATATCCTAAGACATCCAAGCTTACCGCGACATTTCGGATGTTTTAAAGGAACCCATAGAGGAAGCCCCTGATTGTGCATCTAAAAGCTATCACCAATTCACCTTTTTTATTAGGTTATCTGTGAAGCGGTGCATAATTAGACAAGCAATCACAGAGCAAACAGGCATGGATAAGGCATCCTCATGGAATCGCTAATGTGGTCTGGAGTTTGCCTTTCAACTTCTAGACACTCGTCTCACTTCGGAATTTTTAAGTGGACCTTAAGCATTTTGATTGCTAGCGCATTGTCTCCCAGGGTCGCGAAAGTGAGAACGGGCTGCTAAGATTAATGTCCGGCAAACTGAAGTCACAAATAGTGGGCTAGACAAGGTTTTAGAAATACTGAAAAAACAGATGGGTATTGTGACTCTTTTGGAGACGAAACCATTCAATGAAAGCATGGAAAGAACTAGTGTGAGCTAAAATCAAACTAGCACGAATCATTCGCACTGTTTGAAGGGCCGTAGGAAACTCATTTCTGTGTCTTGGAATAGACTCACTAAAGCTTCACAAAGTGACGTGACACTGGAACTAGACGGCACCAAATACAAGTGGGTTCAGGTTATTGTGTTTCGCCATTGAGAACTTGACGGCAGTAGATTGATTGCTTCAACGATAGTGGCCAGCGCAGCGATTCATTTTAACGTCAGATGCTACATTACTTAAGCGTGACTTTTAGTTTGATTCCAGACACAAGTTCTCTGAACCAGCTACTTCCAGCCAAAGGCGAAGCCATGTGTGGTATAAAAATTTGTGAGCGAGTAACATCTAGCCGTGCTTACTGCGAGGCTACTTTGGCAATGGCACACTGTTTTGGGTGGTCAGAGTATTGACGTTGGGACAACCAGTACAAGTAGACCGAAAAAAACTCAAACCAGGGCGGGCAGCCTTAGTGAACAAAGGAGTAGTGTAATGGTTTAGAACAATCGAAAATTCGCCTGAAGTGGCACAGCAGAGGCGGTAGCTTCATCTTCTTTAATTTTTTCTCTTAAAGGACAACGTCATATACCGCAGATAACTCTAAGTACCAGTTCACATACCGAATCTGTGTAGTCAACAGTTCCCGTCTTCGTCTAATCGTCGAGTGCATTTGGCTCTGTTGTTGCTACGCTGGCGCGGTACATATGCGTTAGTTTGTTAGGTGCTGCGATTAAATGGGTCGGTCCTGCTTTCGATCCTTACGTTGTTCTTATTCTCACCAGTCAAGCAAAGCAGTGTGCTCACTAACGTAACCTGGCGTATTGCTACGTCTCGTGCAGTAAGTGAACCGTCGTTTCACCACGGATCTCTTCAGGCTTATTTTACACTGCCGATGGAGACTGGTTTGGCGTTCGTGGTCATTTTTACTTTGCCTCGTTGTTCCGCAATGGTGTTGTGGAACCTGGCTTGATTAACCCTTTGTACCACATTGTTTAGATTGCAATAATGCTTCAGTGCAAGTGTCATTCCTACCAGTATTCGCGAGGATAAGTACAATAGCCTTCTGTCAACAATTAAGTAAGTGCCACAACTCCGATACGTTGCTCTACAGTGTATTATTGGAGTAAACTGTTGTGGTTCAGGTAGAGCTATCGGGTGAATTACTTCAGGACTCAAAGGGTTAACTTGGCTCTGAATTAGAGTAACGAACTAGTGATTTGTAACTCCACTCGCTGACCGTATATTTTCCCGCTGCTTGCATTGAAAGCCTCGATTTCAACTACACACAATGTGCGAAGGTAACCAATACATGCTACCGATCTAACGCAAAGGCGTGCCACAAAGGCGAGCCACTTAACCGGTAACCATCATCACAGTGAGCGTTTGTGCAAAGACATTAGGGTAGTGGGCATGCTGTTGTTCGAATATGCTGCTTGTGAAGGCAAGAGAACTGCTATTCAGGACCAGTCGAGACCGCTACTTTTAACGGTCACTAAGATTACGAACAGACCCAAGTACAGATGGCTGGCTACTCTCAACTCAGCAGCTCCGATCCCATATGCAAACCCAAGTATATACCAGGCATGCCTATAGGCGTCAGTCCGCCAGCTATTTCAGTACACATCAGTCATAGGGTGCTGTGTCCAGTTGTTGGCAATCCTGTTCTTTTGCAGTACTCTAAAAACACAGATTTAACATGTACTGGGAAAACAAATATGCCTACTTTAAATGCGTCGTGATATTCTCGGACTGGTGCCTGATGGCTGCACAGTAGTGTAAATCGTGGTTGAAACGCATATATACAAATCACGCTATCCAGTCTTCTGGTCGTAGTCGTCCTCTAAAGGAACGATATTTCAGCGTAACTCTGTCCAGAAAATAACAATTCCTGCATTCAATGAACTCTTGCATATACATGAATTTGTTTACGCAACAACATGAAATATACGTACTTTTGGGTCTGATACTTAACGGGGTCGGTTTCTCACAATGCGGAGACATACACTGTTTGCTGTGCACTTCGTCATTTTGAAGGTTCCTTTGATTCAAATGCACTTACGCGTTCAATTACAGTGATAGTACCAGGTTTGGAATTGACAAGCAATGATGTATGTAAACGTCGTGAGTTACTCTTCATAAATACGCTCTTTATTATGCATGTTTTTACGTCAATCCCAACAAAAGGAGATATTTATATTTCACACTGGTGTATTGTCCTAATGGTGCCAGTGATTAGGAAGGAGGAGCATATCATTAAAAACGCAGTACGTGTATTGGCATACCGGCACGGCACTAAACGCAGGATGAACGGATGTGGTCCACAGCAAAGCCGTTGGTACAAAAACCAAACCGCATGGTAGCTGTGAGCCATTCCACAGCGTTATGTGCCCCTACCGTGCGAACAATCAAACTGGAGGGCCAGGTGACTGAATTGCTTTGATTTCTGACTACTGACCACTAAAAAGCACCACACAGTAGAGTCCAATGGGTATGGATGGTACACAATACGCCATCTAGTGTTGAGGTAAAATTCCTTTTAATTCCCTTCATAGTTGGTGACACTTGTAAATACCGCGCAACTTTAAACATGCGATCAATCTGACGTGATGTTTGGTAGGAGGATAATATGACCTTGCCAGGGTTACGCCTACTAAGTAAAGACCAACGCTTTGAGTTTGCTGGTAAGATTATTCAGGAACCCGCCTGTGCATTCATTATAGTCGAAAAGCTGATTTTATGGATGTCAGCTGAAGGAACTTACCGTCAGTGTTCCCTTTCCACCCATTGGAACTATGCATTAGGTTGAGGTTCCTTGGCCGAATAGGCGGAATTTGACGATCAGGTGGCTCGTGTGTCAACCACTGGAACAACTCGGCAGCCAATGTAGCACTATGCAATCGCCGATGAGCACCGGAACGCGCCAAACCTTGCGAACAGAACCAAGATAGCTCTAAGTGATCAAGATCCGAATATGGTTGCTTCTGTCCTGAGCTTGCAGTCCACCGGCCAGTGCACCCGATTGGCATAAGGGCGATGAATATACCAAGTTCATCATGCGATTGACAGAGTTGTGCGACCATCCGGGCGTTGTGCTGTGAAGCAGATGGCTCAAGTTGCCAATCCGGGCCGAAGCTGAGGTTGAACTCTGAAAATGTCATAACAATTACGGGAGTTATGCCAGAAGGAAAGGATAAACTTGTATCAGCTTGCGAGAAAACATCTGCAGTTGCGCGTTGCATATGCCATATTAAAACGGAGGGAGCGATGGGAGCAATATACACACCGCACTAATTATCTCCATCTCAATCACAAGAAACTTCTGAATACGTTCAACATTATGAGATGTGCAGCATAGAAAAGATCCTTCGAACGTGTTTAGCTTCTACTCAAAACTTTATATTTTGAAGCTTTTTCTCCGCGCTTCTGAGCGCCAAAGCAGTCCTCCCAAACAAGATAACATGTCGTGAAAATGTAGTGCCCAGATATACCGGGTACTTTAGTAAACCAAGCGGAATTACGGAAAATTGCTCTAACGTGGCATCGCGCTACTTTTTATTCATCTATTTAATGGGAACACATCCCACACACTACAGTACGACTCTGAATGTCTGAAAGCTACGTCAGCTTCAATTAGTTATCAACTGCTGAGTAACGCGACATTTTGTGTAGGAAAGGCAGATTGTCACAGCTCCCAAAAACAAAAGACGGTCATAATGCTTAGAAGCTTTCAAACTATCATAGCACATGGCATTGGAACAATTTACGCGTTCTGACATCTATAGCCCACAAAAATGTATCCATTTATAGGTTTCGCAACGGGCGTTTAGCGTCGTCTTTTCGGTACCGGCCATTTGCGTCGATTCGATTCAGGTTGGCCTTAACCCCAACACAAAGAATATTCACATAGTTGAATGGTAACTAAATGTAGACCCCGTTCTATCTAAGAAAGATGGATCAAGAAAAGCAGTTTTTTTTGTTATGTCCACATGTTCTAACGCGGCAATGATTTCATAACAAACCGAAGTAATTTATCTTGTTACGAAGAGAAGTGTTGTTATGACTGCTCCTTGTAGAACCCCGTAGATTCATGATGTACATCAGCGATGTAGCAGTGGTCAGTAAGATATTCGCAACTTCACGTAGTTTGAGTTATTTTCCGTTGACTTTCAGCTTTCCACCAAGTAACCGAATGTCTTGTAACTACTTCACATATTTCAAACACCAGTCCAGCTACAGATTCCAAAGCCTTGAAGCAATACTGGCTGCATCATAAGAGCGCACCGGTGCATCCGTCAAAGGTTACCATCGAGTTTCTGTTTGATAGCGGGATCAAATTTCTTGAACTGCCATTTTAGCATTCCGATTTGACATTTGTGACCTTTGATTACTTAATAAAATCAAAAGTTCGGCACAGAAAGCTTCCTAAGAACCGAAAAGTTTTCATTGAGACAGTCAAATCTGAGCTGGATGACCTCACTGAGGCCGATTTTGAGCAGTGGTTTGATTCTTGGGTGAAACCCACCGAGTAGTGCTTGCAGGTTGAATTAGACCATGTTGATAAGTACTGAATAAATAGAATACATGTCAAGAGAAGAACCTTATTCGGATTTCTATAACCTAAAATATCGCGATTCCATGGATTGCTCCTTGTAAACTCGCCGTTAACCATGAAACACGCTATCACTGCGGATGACATTTATCTACTGTACATATTATCCTAGAATATACAGGATATATCAGAAGTAGAGGAAGACGTCTAGTTATTGAAGCAAAATATGACACATGGAAAATGTGGTGCGCCACGGATAAATGCGGAGTAATAAGTTGTTGACATAAAGTTGACACGTCACCCTCTGCCCCCTATATGTGTACCCATCGGCCAACATATTGCTTGATGATATTATCGGTGGTAGGAAACGGGATTGCACATAGCATTTGTACTAGACGCTGTTGAGTTCACAATCTCGTTCCTACGTGTCTTTCTTAAACACGGATACTGGAAGTTGTCTTCCTGAAGATGTTGATCAATAAGTTCAAGTAAGGAAGTCTGTTTTCTAAGTCCGACCCCACTTCGAATTGGATATGGTATATGGGGTAGTTGATTATGTGGTGTCCATTCCATACTTAAATGGGCTTGCGTACCACGAATGTCAGATCAGTTTTTGATAGCAGACATCTTTTAAATGTTGCATAACAATTACAACGGTAAATTTTGGTACAGAAATCTTGTTGGTGTGTGCTTCACTCGTTCATATATCTCTCTGTTGGTGCGAAGTAAGTTGAGAGACGCAGCTGGTGAAGCTTCAACATTACGGCTGCACAGCGAAATCGCCTCGGACAGTGGCTAGGGTCACGTAGTTTAGCGCACTTACAAGCGCCCACAGCAAAAGAACAGATTTTCGGGTGGAAAGTGTAGTCCGACCAAAAAGACACGTCTGACATACTCTCCACCGGAGGAAGAATCGATCAATACTATGCAAAATATAGAAATTATGAAGCACGATCGGAATACTAATTGTCTGTCGATGAAGTGACCAAAAAGCACTAGGGAGTAAGCGAAAACGACGCCAATGGAACGAAATAGGTACAGTTTCGCTGACAGGAAGTAGACTTCCTAACAGTTGCTTCGGTTGTCGCATTCGTTATTTTCTTCTCACTATTGTCCAAACATCCTTGAGTGACCAATTTATCAGCGGTAATTTGACGTATATGTAGAGGTCAGTCAAGTTGAACGACATCATCTCTTCGTCATGATCTATTCATAAAGTTCTGCGACGTTTCATTGGAGTCGCAGCAATTGTATTCATACACGCGGAAGAGCGCTAGACGGTCGCAACTGTAGCCTCAAACATGCCCTTTCCATTTTTTACCCAATGCTGCCAATGCTTTTACTGTTAATGCTGACTGACATGAATTTTAAGTTCAAACTGACTGCATCAGCGTGAAGTATTTTTACTGCATTATTACGGCATTTCATCGTATCACTAGGCATTAGACACATTGAGCGCAAATGGCTATGGTAAGTGATTGAAATTACACCAAAATTCCCTTAGGTTCCAGTACAAACCTTCGTCCTTCTAGTGCAATGCACCTATTCGTGTTGCGTGGCAATCAGTCACACATAAAAGCTAGGGTTTGCGGCTCGGAGAGAGTTGGACAGCCTCGTAATGGAGTTGTCAGTTCGGTAAAACCTAACCTAACGAGAATTCGGTCCTTAACATCCCACATATTATGAAAAGGTGAAGACCGGCTCCCAGGGATAACATCTGCGGAAATCAACTAGTGAAATGTAAAGACTAGTGTACGCAATAAAGTTTCATGGTGTAGCTGCTGTGGTATTTTCGTAGTAATGATATTTCTTAAGGTGAGACGGGTCATTCCTGTTGCTGTTTACTTTTATCGTAACTTTGAAACATCACATATCAAAACAACAGGTGAGACGGATTGGAGCAACAAAGCTCTTAAAACTTGCCAGCCGGCACTTGTCCATCCATCTTTTCATCTGTCATTTGACGTTAGAATACCATCTGACGGGAGTCGACGTTAGCTACGTGTTTTGGATTTCACCTGCCTAACCTAAGTTATACTTTATGACACGGCTTGGTTTTCACAAGGAGTTCCTGCGTCCTACTAATGGAGTGACACTACCTGCTACCCAAGCGACTGGACACTGTGTGTTAAACATACTCTCAGCATGCACAGAAAGCCCTGGCATTACGAATAACGAACGTGGAACTTGTTTGCTCAGCCCGGTATTATGGAAATCATGCTCATCCATTGAGTTCGCCAGTGTGTTCTATTTTCAGCTTTCCGTCAAGTGTAACTCCGCTTACACTAGGTGCCTTATGCGATTTCGCAGGGGATAAGGCGGTGTTATTCAAATGGAATTACTTGGATGCCGAGTACCAAAGTCCGGTTGAATTGTCTGAGATCATCGGAAGGTTTCCGCTACTCCTCCACCAATCACCAGTTCTGACATACCATTTGTGAATATGGCACAGCGTTTAGAATACTGAGCTTAGTGGAGAGGTCCTGACGGATATCTGTTACCCCTGACATATCACCAGTAACCTAGTCACACATACAACGTCCGTTCGAGGTTAAAGTAAAAAATGCAACAGAAATTTGGATCGAGGACGTATGCAGCGGCCTGTGCCAAAGAGCTCAACACTTTGGGCTTGTTAAAAATTAAACTGGTAGCCAAAGCTCATTATTGTCTCAGCTTCCGAATACAACAGCGAACACATCTCATTAAAGAGTATCAAAAAGCACTACAACGACAATGCTATTTTCTAGCCCGAAAAAGGCTCCTGAATGGTCATCATAGACGGACTAACCTACTCACTTAAGATGAAAACAGCACAAAGTTCAAGCCGGATGTCACAATTGACATTGTCGGTTTAGTATAGAGGCAGTGAATTAAAAATCCTTAGGCTCCATGGATTCATATGCGTTGAGGAATATGGGGCGCTAAACCTTGTGGGTACCCATACTCCATGAGTCTATGGTCTTCCTAAGCTGCACAGAATAGGAATGGCTCTGTGATCAACCATCCACAACGTTAATTCGCTATACTTGTGATTGCCAAATGGCTAAATAGCATGATTGGGCCTATCGAAAAATTCATAGAACATAAAATACTATCAAGCAACTGCGAACTGCTTCGTCACTTGGAAAGCCAATGTGCTTACCTGATATGCTCTATCTCTTCTCCAACATCTCCTTGAACGAGCATGTTGAGCATTCATGTGGGTCTATCTCAAAATATGAGTTCCTCTGCGGCTTCCAACGGAATTGCAAAACAACACGTACTATTTTCAAAGGAGGACATATCGACAGAGAAGTATTGTGGCTACGTACAGACCAATATGCCCGTTGTTAAAAGACGTGTTCATGGGCATCATTGCAGAAAAGGCAGACAGTTCTATATAGGAGCCATGTTGATGATTTACTGCTAATTAGGGATCCGGATGAGGATATGGCGCATGCGGCCGCGGCACTCAACAAAATGCACCTGAACCTTACAGTGGGGCCTGATTCTGGGCAACACTGCTGTATTCGGTGTCTCGATATGCCGACGACACGGCAGCTAGACGGTTCCATAAGATGGTATGTCTACAAAAAGCCAACCTGGACTAGCCATTA